ATGCCTTTAAATGGGCATCCGCCAAATCCATTACATCAATATAATCTCGAATGCAAGTGCCATCGCGGGTGTCGTAGTCTTGGCCAAACACCCGCAGAGATTCTCGAATGCCCGCCGCCGTTTGGGTTAAATAGGGCAATAAATTCCCGGGAACGCCCACAGGCTTTTCACCAATTAAACCCGATGGATGAGCCCCCACGGGATTAAAATACCTTAGGGCAATGGCCCGATGCCCCTCCAATACTGCCCAGTCTTTAAGCATGGCTTCGCCCATGCGTTTGGTTTCACCATAAGGCGATTCGGAGGGTTTAAGTGGGGCTGTTTCATCAATGGGCAAAGCGTCGGGCAATCCATAGACGGTGCAAGACGAACTAAAAATAAATGAGCCCAATTGATCGCCAAATTCCAATAAATTCATCATGCCCAATACATTGTTTCGGTAATAAGCCATGGGGCATTTCATGCTCTCGCCAACGGCTTTAAACGCTGCAAAATGAATGGTGCCACCAAAAGAACGGGTTTTAAAAAAATCGGTTAAAGCCTGTTTGTCGGTTAAATCCAAGGCCACAAACGCCGCCTTTTTTTGAGTTATTTCTTGAATGGCGTCTAGGGCATGCCAATCCGAATTGGATAAATTATCAATAATTACGATTTCATGGCCATGGTTCATAAGGGCTATGGCCGTATGAGAACCAATATAGCCCAAACCACCAGTAATCAATATGGGTTTTTTCACAGAATATTATTTTGTTATTCGTATTTAGATGCCTAAATTTAGACATTTATTTTAAACCATCAGAATGTTTTGGATCTACAGCGGCTTTATGGCATTGTTTAATATCGCTGCTCGATTGGTGGCCACGGTTCATCCCAAAACCCGAAAATGGGTAGAGGGAAGACGCCATTGGTCAGAAAAATTAAAAGCCCAGTTGCCCGATGATAAACCCGTTATTTGGATGCACGCCGCCTCCTTGGGCGAATACGAGCAAGGCGCCGATCTATTGGAAACCCTTCAAAACCAATATCCAAATCACGCCACGGTATTGTCGTTTTTTTCACCATCGGGCTATGAGGTCATAGCCCCCAAGAAAGTGGCCGATGCCGTGTTTTATTTGCCATTGGATACAGCATCCAATGCCCAAACCCTCATTCAAATCATTCAACCCAAATTGTTCATTCTCATCAAATATGAATATTGGTAT